TACATATTAATCCACTTTAATATAATGTATCTAGAACAAAATTACAGATAATTTTGACCTCATTTATCCCCCAATACATGTATTTGGACGTATTAGCTTCTAAATTTATAGGATTTATGTAAATTCTCCTCGAAAGTAAGAATAACAAATGTCTGACAAGCCTAAAAGAGTGCCCAATCCAAAAATAAATCTATTCAATTCAAATTAAAACAAAGGGATAATTACATCAAAAGGCCCTTCGGTCAATTTAATTATACCAAAATATGGTCAATCTTCTTCACCTTGGTTGTCATCGTCTTCTTCTGTTTTGGCTACTTCTTCTTTTTTCTTTCAGTTTTTTTCTTCCACTTCTTCTTCTTCTTTCAGTTTTTTCTTCCGGTTCTTTTTCTTCTTCCGGTTTTTTCTTCTTTTAAAATTTGTTGTACCGTAAATCTGAATCGTTTCAAGTGAATTGTATATCATAAGATTCAAAACATCGAGAGGATTTTATATCTAAATTATTGGGCTGTTCAGAAGTGATTTTGAGTTGATCGAAATTGAATAGTTGGTGTATATTTCATATATACTCACTGTATATTTCATGCATAGTTAAGTTATATTCAGCTTTTTGAGTGTATCATAATGTATTGTCAGTGTATATCTCATGTATAGTAAGCTACATTATATAGTTAGTGTATACTTTTATGACTTTTGGCAAGTTCTATGACTTTTGGCAAGCTATATTTTGTTTAATAAGTGTGTACTTTCTATAATTTTTGGCCGTTTTTATATAAATAAAGTATGGCTATATTTGTTATAAATTAATTACTTCATTGAAAACTTACATAAATATACTATATTAAGAAACATTTACCATATATAGCAATAACATTTTTTTCACTTGATCACTTTTAATTCATTTATAATACAATTTTAATACGTATTACAAAGAACAATTTATAAAACACATATAATACAAGTTTTATTGATGAATAATACATTTATCACACATTTTAATACAATGTATCATTTTTTTATCAAACGAACATAATATATTTAAAACAGTTATAACACATATATATTGCATACATAATTCACTTTTAATTAGGGGTGTGCAAAAACCAAACCAAATAAATGTTATTGGGTTAATGTTATTGGGTTATTGGGTTTTTAATGAGTTCATAAAAAAAAGTTATTAGGTTATTGGTTTGGTCTCAATTTTTATTGTTGGGTTATTGGGTAAACCGATAACTCAATAAGACGGTAATAATTTATTACTTTACGCTTTCTAAATTAAATATTAATAATTTAATATATAACTAGACACTACAACTATATCAAATTATTAGTACTCTACCCACTTCACACTATGCTGTTTTACTAGTCTTTACTATTTACTCAAAATCTAAAGACTAAAGTAAGGGTTCACAATTGTAGCTATTTGATTTAAGTTTTAGTTTTAGTCTTGTTGGACTATTTGATTTTAGTTTTAGTTTGAATTATAGGTTATGACTTTTGCAAGTTTGTACAGTAATTTGATTAACATCAGAAATTTCATACTATGTTTTGGTGGTGACATGTAATTATATCCTTCGTACTATTTTTTTTTCTTATTGATGCAATTTCTCATTATCTTTCTTCTTTCACTATATCAAAGCATTTAGAGAAGTGAGAAGTCATATAATATTTTACGAACATTTTCTTATTGGGTAAACCGAAAATCGATAACAACCAAAAATCGATAAAAAAAATATCTTATTGATTTGTTATTGGGTTAGCATATTTAAAAATGAAAACTGATAAACTGAATCGGTTATAAATAAAACTAAACCAAACCGACCGATGTACACCCTTACTTTTAATACATATTGCAGATTTATCATAGTATTGCTATGTACTGCTATAAATGCTAATAAATAAAAACGTATCGCTAGAATCAGTAATTATTTATTAAAAGATACCCATCCAAGTAATTATTTCTTACTTTATTGTATTTATTTGAAATTACCCTTAAAACAAATTTCATCTTCACTTTGTTGTCGGATCTTCATATCCCTTTTTAGAAAACAAGGTTTCCATCTCATCCATTTCACCTTTGCCGAGTTTCTCTTCCAGTTCTGTTGATTGTTGTGTCCAAACGCACACACGATCTTATAAGTAATTCAAATTTTGAAGTTGAGATGTTGTATCCAAATAGACAAGTAAATTAACTATTTACTAACTTAAACTAGTGTTAATTATTTATTCAAGTACTAAAATCTCAAGGTTATTTAATATGATTAACTAATACTAAAATAAAAAGAGGCTTACTAATGAACAATTAACACGACGAAGAGATATATTTTTACATTATCGATGCGATGAGATCGATCTAGGGTCATGGATTTACTAGCAATCGATTTGAGTAATCACTTGAACTCACTTTGATTTTTTTTATTGGGTTATTAGTTACAGGTTGATATCACTTATTGAGCGTTTTTCTGACAACTCTAAAATTACTCGACTATTCCTAATGCCTACATTTCTGTGGTCGTGTCTGTTCATAGTGAATAAGTGCCGATAGATTTTTATATGTATCAACTAAGTAAGGCTAAATGGTATATTTATATTTTAGTAGTTTATCGTTCCCCTTTCTCTATAAGGGTCATAAACAAGCCCTTCACTTTGTTTTATTACACTCAGAATTCCCTCTTTCAAGCCTAATTAACGAGCCACAAATAGTTGTATTAATAGTTAGCCAAACAATCAAAACAATTAAAGATAAAAAAAAAAAAAAGTAGTAAATAACCAAAGGAGTCGTAGCACGACGATAATAATCTTAACAAGTCAATTCTTTTTATAATTATGCGGTTATACCATTTGTTTTTGAAGCATCTCCTTCCTTTACATCAAAAGCTCTCGAAAGAGATGCGAATGAAACTATATCGTTTAGATCAGTGTCTTTTTGTATGGATGAACCTACTATTTAATAAATAAAATCCTTCCAGTTCCAAAGTAAAAAAAATAATTTATGCGGTTACCATAACCCTACACATTTTGCAGTTGATCTATTTCACTTGAACAATTATGAGAGCTTATCTTGGTGTCTAACTCAGTTCCCACAAAGATGGTGTTCCTTGCTTTCCAAATCAGAGCTACAACTACAGCCACTACCAGTTCCCTACATACCCTTGAAATAATCCTACCAGTCTTCATATGGTTAATCCATCCAAATATTGTCAGCCTTCTGAGCTATGTTCCAAACATATTGCATGTATAGTTTGTGATCCCTAGACTCCTTCTCACTTTAATCTGCACACCAATTCCCATGCCACAAGATCGAGGTAGTTTAGTAGTGCTGTTCACTGTCCCATCCCTAAGAAAATGATACTCACTTTTTTTTTAATCAGTATAAAAAATAATGACACATTTTCATATTTAGTAACAATTCAACTATTTTATTTTTAATGAAATAATTTATAGTCACACAAACATCTATCACTTATTTTAGAACACAAATTTCAAAAATCTTTCTTTCTTTCTTAAACTGCATGACAAGTCAAACTAATTCATATAAAATGAGACAACAGGGAGTATTAATCCTTTTGAGACCAAGTCAAAGGAAAAATTTTACCATGGGAGAGGCCCAACCAACCAAAGTTGGGTGAGGCTCCATCCATGTTTTGACACGTGGATTATGATCATCTTAACATAAAGGCTGAAAAAAAAAAAATCAAAAAGTAAATAATGGGGTCTACATGTATTAAATGTTCACTCAAATCAAAGATAGAAGATAAACAAGGTTCACTCAAATCTAAGAGAGAGAAGATGAACAAAGTTCTGGGTTTCTTTTCCTCTTGTTCAAAGGAGAAAGAAATTAACTTTCAAATCATTTTTTCTTCTTCTTCTTTCTTAAAAAATTGGATGAAGATATGAATGATTCTCCTTAAAGCTTCTTCTGCGATTTTTATCTATTTATGATTTTCAGGTACGAATTTTTTTTCGTCTTTCTTGAACTTTTTAATACTATCAACACAATTAAATTAACAAAAACATATTACATATATATATATTTGACAATAGATCTCTATGGATCTTCTTGCTTTGCATGTCACTTGTAATGTCAAAATACAAAAAAAAAATTGTTGCATTGATTTTTAATGCTTCAAATATCAAAAATTAAGATCTGCACCGAAGATCAAATTGAATTTTCTTCAAATATCTGTTTGTTTGATTGTTGACTCTGCATGCAAGCTTCAGATTGTGAATTCAGATTTTGAGTCAAAAATTGAGGAAAAATATTGGATGAATCTCCAATATTAAATTTGGATGCAATATTTCTTGAAATTACCAATACTAATATCTTATATTGGCAGGAACTTTCTACCAAGCATGAAGATCATTTATGACAACAATGAATGATACATAGATAATTGTGTCACACAATTTTGAGCATTTTGCACAAGATAATGCAATATTTTGCTTTCAAGATGTGTATAAAATATATTTATCTATATGTATAATGAGGATTATTAATAAACAACTTCTCATTCTATTTAAAATTTTAGTAAGAAAATATTATTGTACAAATATAAAGAATATTGAGAACAAAGAGAGTAAAAGAAATAAGTTCATAGATCTATATATTTTGTAACTTTACTTGAACAAAATTTGAACGTCTCTAGAGAGTAAAAGATCAACAATGGTGTATTTTTGATTTAGAGCAACAATGATGTATTTTTGTTTTAGAGCTTTTACTTTGTTTGGTTTAGATATGAAAGGCAAAGATCTTAATTAAGGAAGGAAAATAGTACTCTCTTTCCCTCCATTTTTATTGTACTATATAAAAGTTTATTTTTATTTTTATTTTATTTCATTTGCAAAATACACATATTGGCCCACAGTCCACATGTCAAAAAATGGATGGAGCCTCTCCCATGGTAAATTTTTTCAAGTCAAAGCTATATTGGTGTGTCTGCATGATCAATTTTAGGTACCAATGTTATCACAGTGCTATTCAAGGCGCAAAAACATCTGCCCAGTATTGAAAAAGTTCCATTACCTCTACTTTATAAGTTCTTCATTCCTTTACAAAAGGCCAACAATCCTTGATGAATTGAAGAAAACATAATTTACTCTATTATGCAATAAATTAGGCTTCTTTACAACCTTTGTTGATAGAAATAATATAGATGCATTTATTCACGTACCTAGAAGATGATGAGATGTTGCACTCGTATCTTATTTGTTGACTTTGCATGCCCTTATACTCTATATTAATGCATGCTCAATTGTATAACTAACTTGGAAGAGTCTCCACAAATATTTCTACGACCAACCAATGTCTGGAAGGCCAATATTCAAATCAGTCTCCATCCTGCTACACTTATCCTTTTCTGTCAGTTGGGCTGGTCGTGTTAGGTCAACCGGTAGTTCTAATGCTGCTGGTCTTACTCCTCCACACTAGCAACATCATGATTTTATAAGAATTGTCAACAAAAACACATGTAACTGAAGAGTTTATGTTTGATGGTGAAAGAAATATTTACATAATAACTCGTCTTCAATGTGGAGAATCAACCCATCCCCAACAAGATGAAAGTTCAGGTAATTAACCAACTGAGTTACTAAGATTCTCATATAATAAGTCCAACAAAATGAAAGTTCAGGTAGTTAACCAACTGAGTTACTAAGATTCTCATATAATAAGTCGTTGATAAAGTAAATCTCGATGTTAACCATCAAGATTATGATAACAGATTGATTATGTATCACAATTTTCATCACTACATGGAAGGCTTTCTTGTAAATATATTGACAAGACCAAGGATAAATTGTACTCCCTCTGTTTTAAAAAGAATGTCCTAGTTTGACTGGGCACGGAGTTTAAGAAAATAAAAAAGACTTTTAAATCTTATGGTTCTAAAGTAAAGTTATGTCAAATGTATTAAATTGTTCTTTAATCTTGTGGCCTCAAAAATATCACGTGGAAAGCTGAAATTAAAATGTTACCAAAAAAGGAAAGAGGTCATTTTTTTTTAAACATACTAAAAAGGAAAGGAGGTCATTCTTTTTTAAATAGAGGGAATAGTAATTTATCTTCTATAACTGGTTTAAAATTTACTTGTAGCGTAAAAAGTCTTTACATGCACGGATAGTGTATACAATAATTTTTGATTTATTGGATCTAAATTTCTTTAGCATAATTGTCAGCCATGGTTGCACAGTTTACTCTTAACGCTTGAATTTGCAAACTAGTGATTTTGCGTGTTGAAATGATATGTTGCTCGAACTCTTTAAAAATATTATTATATCGATCAAATCCTTTAAAAAAGGCACTTTTCAAGGATCCAACAGACCCATGCATCGACATTTGAAGAAGTACCAGCAACATTTTCAAAATGTGGATACTAGTTAGGGGAAAGAGGAAATATTGAACGGGTAACTACATGAGTCGTCCTATAAACATAAGCTTCCACTTGACAAGGTGATATGTTATTACTTCAATTTGTTTGTTAGAATATGACTTGACACGAAATTTAATAAAGTAAAGAAAACTTTTGAATCTACGGTGTTAAACTAAACATACGTTGGATGTACTAAAATGCTCTTTAATCTTGTAGTCTTAAACATGTCAAAGTTGAAACTAAAAAGTTGTCAAAAAAATGAAAAAGACATTCCTTTTGAAACAAACTATAGAAAAAAAGTAAGACAAATTAAAATAGATAGTCTAATTATTAATTCAAATCGAAAAGGAAGATTTATGGGAGAGTTCACCTTTTCAGATAACCTTGCATTTTCTTCACGCAATAGTCTCTCCTGCACAAGAGGAACACAAATGGGTGTTTGCTAATTCAGTGAAATTAAATTAGCAAGTACTAGTAAAATTGCATTGAAGTTGTATCATCATACCCTTTCTTTTAGCCGTTGTATTTCGTCCTTGAATAATTGAGACTACAAAATGACCAACATAAGAATTGGTTAACCAATGAAGTCAAATCATGTAAACATGTTAAGCTGAATTGCATATTAATTCATATGTTTCAATTTATATGATTCACCATTCTTTTAAGTCAAGCTCAGTTAAGAATAGCACATATCTATATCTAGTAACACTTTTAAACACAAATTTCAAAATTCTTTTTTTCTTTTAAACTGCATGTCAAGTCAAACTATATGACAATGAGAGTAATACCTTTCTCGCCCTGATGATCTTCAAGCTTCTCTCTAGCTGGTTGTCGATCTCTTGAAGTTCATTCATTGAACATGATCCAATGCCTTGCCCCAAAAGCTTCCTAAGCATTGAAATTCAATACGCCAAGAAATTGTTTAAAAAGAGACTACATTCAAACTGGAAAACCTAACTGCTAAGACTGACTACAATACCGTTTGGAAATTTCAAGGATCTCTATCTTCTTTGCAATGTTTGCTGTTTCTTCCTTCAATTGCTGCAAATCATGAAATAAAGTATGGAACAAAACCAACAACAGATGATGAGGTGCAACAATGAGGAATTTAAACCATAAATTTCATGACATTATTCCAGATGTTAACAAATGACTTCTACGAACTGTATATCAGTATATTTACACAAAAGCCCAGATCACCAATATGGATTAATATCTTGCACAAGGCAATTCCAGTTGAATCATCATTATTTGCCAAGAACAGTAAAGATAAGATATTTCGGTGTAACTCAATTGTAAAAACGGGCTCATAAGAGGAGAATAGTCCAAGATCATATAAGGAGTTCATGTTCTCATCCCACAAATGGTGGGGAACTCCACAATATAAGATAGGAACCCAACATTAGAAACAATGAATTAGGATGAACCTGATTCTACTACTCTGTAAAGAAATGAATCTTGCATCTAACTCAACCTAAAAAACTAACTCATAGGTGAGCTAAGTTGCTCGAACTCTTCACTTTTGATGCCGCACCCGTATTGACACAACATGAGTGTGGAATTCGTGTCCAATTTGGTCAACTGATGGGATATGACATAAGTATCCCCTAGATTATGACCGAAATTCCAGAGACACACCTTAACTAAACTAAGGTCCTATTACCCCCGAACTCATTTTTTATATAATTTTGTACACCTTTTGGCTTATGTGGTACATTCCGTGACTCCACACAGTTTAAGCACTTGGGAGATATTTGGATGTCACGTAAGCCGAAAGGGTGTACAAAATTATTTTTAAAATGGGTTCAGGGGGTAATAGGATCTTAGTTTAGTTAATGTGTGTCTCTGGGATTTCGATAATAGTCTAAGGAGGTATTTGTACCTTTTTTCTATGATTCTTGGTACTTTGACCATAATCGATGGGGGTAAGTGTGGACAGTTTTAATGATTGTCTGTAATCAATACAAAAGCTAATGTGAAATTGAAGAAAGTTAAATACCTTTTATATAGAAATTTCTGTCACTCCTTTTCCAAATCTCCTTCTAGGATTCTCCTTAAATTCTCCCATAATATCTCATAATTTAGGTTTTCTAACTCTATTTATAGATATTTTAATTATTTTTAAGCGAATCCCCGCTTTCGTATCCCTGCATGGATCCATATCTCCGAATCTTAAAAATTAGATCATGAAGGATCCAACATCTAGATCCACACCCGTATCAAACACCCATACCCGAGTCCAAACAACTTCGTAGGTGAGTATTGTTCAAATCTTATAAGGATCTTAAAGTTCTTGTCATTCACCGATATGAGATTAATTCCATTCATCACCCCCTCTCACACCCAAATCCGAACGATTGGATTTTCACTATTCGGTTTGGTGTGTGCACATTCATGGACTAAAGAATTTTCCACCTCCTAGCTATAATTGCTCTGGACCTTTGGTCCATATAAATCAATTCAGCTGTGATACCATCTCAAATCAATTAGTAAAGAAATGAACCTTGGGCTTAACTTAATCCTAAAAAACTAGCTTATAGGGTGAACATTGTTCAAATTCATATAAGAAGACTAATTACTCATTCTATATCTGATGTGGGACTCTTAAAACTCCCTTGCACACTCATGTCTTGTTAAGTGGAGCAGGAAAAATACAATATGAGGGGCCAACATCGGTGAATCAACAATTGAGACGGGTCTGACTTTACTATCATGTAAAGAAATGAAGGTCTAACTCAATCTCAAAAGCAAACCCATGAAGGAAGCGTTGTCATAGTCCATATAAGTAAACTATCAGTCTAATCAATGTGAGACTTTAAGCCACTCTAACACCCTTTTCATGTCCAGACCCAATCGGAGCGTGGACAATTGGGAGCCCAAATCGAAATGGACTTAGCTATGATACCATGTAAAATATATAACATTTGAGTTTAACTCAACCACAAATCTAGCTCATGAGGGGAGTATTTCCCAAGATAATATAAGGAATACATGTTCTCATACGACAAATGATGTAGATTTCCAACACCACAATCACCACCACCCCTTACCCCACCCCCACCACCCACACATTTAGATGATGTGGACATTTGGAGCATGGATAATATAAGACGGGGATTAAACATCATAAACAATAAATTTGAATAGGCCTGACCCTGATACTTAAAGAAATAGTTCTTAATACTAACTCAACCCCAAAATTAACTAATAAGTTGGAGATTGTCCAAGTTCATATAAGAAAGAAAGTTACTCATGTGAGACTTGTTGGAGGTTTTAAGATGTCAATGAAAAATGTATCTTTAGATTCCACCAAAAACACACCTTTTAGATTGCATCTCTTTGTCTCACCTTTTCATTCTCTGTAACTTTAATTTAGTGGTTTTGCCTCAAATTTTAGGGACTAATATACAACAAATACTCTTCTTGTTACCATCATTTATATATCAGTTTAAAAATAAAATAATGTTATATTGTGTGATTTGCTTTATTTGTTGCGTTCATCGGAGTCCTATAATTTATGTTGCCGCTATTCTATAAATGTTTTTTTGTTTTATCCTGGAAAGATATAACCCAAATCTCAACAACAGTGAAGGGGTCACTACAACAAAAATAACTTTAGCGGCAATAAATAGACACATTAATAAAGAGTGCTAAATTCTTTATCGGCGGCATTAGTTAAGTGTCATTAGATTCAGTGTTGCTAAAGGATTTAGGGACATACAAAGAGTGCTAATTGCCACTAAAAATACATATTTAGCGGTAATTAAGCTATTGTCATTAATTAATTATCGCTAAAAATCATTTTTGATGTAGGTTACCATTTCTTTAAGGACACATAAACAACTTGTGGACTTGGAATAATTTTGTACTTTTAACTACATTTCTATTTAATTGTTTTTCTGTTTATAAAAACAACCATTGGTTTATATAATTAGTATCTGAAACATAAATAATATACAACTCTTAACAAGAACACCCGAGAGAAATGTGATGCCTATCTTCTCCAAAAAAAATTGGGATATTAGGCAATGGGCATTCCCAAATATCAACATAATCCTATAGATCACTATGAGCCTACAAGATTTACAAGTTGTACCAGCTTCAAGGAGAGTTAAACTATTCTTCAGGAAGAAATACTAAGCAAAAGGATAAGAATATTACAATTGTACTAAATCATCATACGTTAGCTCAGAACTTTTCTTCTTTCAAATCCTGAAATTCTGCTCTTTCCGTTTGTGAATATTCAAAAGTCCTCTAGTCTACGATTGTTTGGGGTTTACGATTTTCCTTCCATTCTTTACTCTTTACATACTTGTATATATATACATGTATTGTTTAATGATGAAATACACAAAATTCTTCCATTCTCTTCTTTATAAGTAAAAATAAAAATACATTCTAAATATAGTGGACAAGTAAAAGCGAACAAAGGGAATAGTAATGGAGATTGGCCGGGTAGTTGGTTATATTAGGCTAACCATACTAATATAATCAGTACTTAGGTCACCATACAATTCCACATGTCATTTTCTTATTGGCTAATTAAATAACTAACTACTAATATAGCAAGTACTGGTGTCCACTTACTACTTTACCAACTTCACATATCTACACTCTCCCTCAAGTTGAGAATGGAAAATGTTCTTCATTCCCAACATGACTAATAAGTATGCATGTTATTGATGTCCTAAGGTCTTGATAAAGATATCAGCTGGTTGTTCTTTTGGAATTGAAATTGACAAAGTTGATACATATTAACAAACAACCATGGAAGAAGAGATAACTGATCAAGCTCTTGCTGCAATGGAGCTTCACAATCAAATGAAAATCAGATACAAACATAATCAGTTGCTCGATTCACAGATAGTCTACATTTCAAGTGGCCCAAGATATGGAAGTTTCACAACCTTTGGATCAAGCAATATAAGTTTTAATTCTGACCATCCAAGCTCATTTAGAAGAGCTGATTTGGATAAACAGGAAAGGTACAAGTGGAAGCAAAAATGAGGCAACAAATAATCCAAATTTCCCTTGACATATTTATTCAAATTATGTACAAAATAGTACATACATAGCTGTCCAAAATTGGATTGTAGTGATAGCCAATCAGATTCCATTTACGTATAGGAATACTTTTGTTTTCTTCTCTTTAGGTATTTTGTATATATACATCACGGCTAAATGATTAGAAAGAAAGAAAAAAATTTCCATTCTTAGTCTCTGATTTTCCACATGGTATCATAGCAACATTGAGAATCTGATCTCTTTGTTGCCTCATCTTCCCTTTTCTTTATCCCTACTCTCAATTTCTCAGTTCAACAATGGTGACAACAACAGATCCCACTTCGGTAGCACTACAGGCACTAGAAATACCACCAACCCTAGAATTGATCACACACATCCTTTCTATCTTCATGCTTCAAGTTATCTATAAATGAATCTTGTTAACTCACCCTTTAATGGGAAAGGTTATGGTGGATGGAGGAGATCAATCTTGATAGCTCTTTCAGCTAAGAATAAGGTTGGGTTCATTGATGGTACTCACAAAGAACCAACTTTGATATCACCAGATTTCAAGCTATGGAACAAATGTAATGCTATGGTTTTGTCATGGCTACTTAACTCTCTTTCAAAAGAAATAGCTGACAGTGTTATCTACTCCAAGACAGTCAAGGATCTATGGAAAGAACTTGAGGACAGATTTGGCTAGTCCAATGGATCACCTGCAAAAGGAGTTGAGTGACTTGGTGCAGGGTTCAAATGATATTGTTGTCTATTTCACAAAGATCAAAAGTCTCTGGGACGATCTTGATGCTTTGTCTGTCTATTGCTTATGTGACTGCTAATGTGGTGGAAAAGGAAAAATGGCTAAGTCTATTCAAAATGAGAGATTGATCCAATTTCTTATGGGTTTGAATGATGTTTATGCTGCTGGAAAGAGTAACATATTGATGCTCTCACCTTTACCCTCCGTGAATCATGCTTACTCACTCCTAATGCAAGATGAAAAGCAAAGGGAGGTGTATATGAGCACACATTAT